GCCGAGCACGTACTTGCCAGACTTCATCACCAGCTGGATCTTGGTGTTGATCGTGTCCACCTTAGACTTCGACTTCTTGGCCATCTTGGCGCTATGGATCCTGCACGTTACGAGTAAAGATGGGGAGGAGAGAAACCCATGAGGATGAAAATGAAAAGTAGATGAGAGAAGCCAACACTAATTGCATTGCATCGAAGGCCAAAATTGGTTGTGATGCCAAACACAATGTCAGAAACAAAACAAAAATTAAAAGAGCCTCTCTTTCATATTCGCCGCGCCTGCAGGGACTTTACGCAGAGGTGATATCAGAGTCACCCACGTCAGTGATCGACATCACACAGGTGCGGAAGTGGCGGCCGCACGCAGTGCCGAGGTCAAGGTTGTTCCCGGTGTAGTGGTGCATGGGCGTCTTGCTCAGCGTGCAGTAGTACTCAATCTCCGCCTTGCGGATCGGCGGGCAGTTGCCGGAGATCACAACAAGCTTGCTGCGGCCCTGGCGGAGGGTCTTGAGGGTCTGCTGTGTGCCGAGCACGTACTTGCCAGACTTCATCACCAGCTGGATCTTGGTGTTGATCGTGTCCACCTTAGACTTCGACTTCTTGGCCATCTTNCACGTACTTGCCAGACTTCATCACCAGCTGGATCTTGGTGTTGATCGTGTCCACCTTAGACTTCGACTTCTTGGCCATCTTGGTGCGGGTAAAGGAGGCTAAATCAAGATGCCAATAAACGCAAAACCAAGCGGGGGGAGAGATAGAGGAGAAAAGGCGAGCGTGTACAAAGCACTGTATTGTGTGGAGGGAGGAGGAGGGAATACATTCGGTGTCCTCAGCACCAGGCGGTGCATGTGACGACGGTTGCCCTTTGAGTCGCTTTCCATTCAATCTACAATAAGTGATCCATTTGCTCGAGTGAGTATTTGCGTGCGTGTGCGTATGCGCACATGTGGGCTGCGTGTGTGTCTAGAGAAGTAAGAATCAGTTCTAGTGTCTGTTCGGGGGAGATGCGCCGATGCCCAGACGACAAAAACCAAAAAAAAACACAACAAAGTACAATCGGTACAAGAAAGACGTCCAGGCAAAGTGATGAGAAACACTTATCAGAGGGACGTAACGAGAAAAACAAAAAAAAAACGTTTGAGAAGTAGAACAAAAATGAGTCTAAGATGAATGGGGCCGCCCTCTCAAAGGACGCCCAACTAAGTAGGGTGAAAAGTGATACAAGAAAGAAACAAAAACAAAAACACATCCTTCTCCACAAATAAACAGAATCATCAACGACGGAGGGCGCCGAGCATATCATCATTATACGCGGTCTCTCACCAGCTCCGTTTTTTTTTTTGCTTTTCCTTTCCCTGCATCGCCGTTTACTCTTACCGCACGCCTCAAGAGTAAAGCACCCGAAAACTAAATAGATTCCCGTCTTCTTCGTTTATATTGCTTTCGCCCACCCGAAGGTCCGTTACCAGATGCCGTCATCGGCGAGCCCCGCTGCATTGAGTGACAACATGTCGACGCTCGAATTGCTCTTGACCATCCGCATGGAGGCGACGTAAACATTAGAGTTGTCAACGTTGACGGAGCGCGAGGAGTTTGCCGATGAGGCAGCAGTGGTATTCCCCCGCATGGCATCCCTGTTGGTGTTGTTGCTGCTGCTGTGGATGCCGTTATTATTAATATTATTCTTGACGCCACTGAGGTTATTGTTGGTGGCGGTGGCGGTGGCGGTGGTGTCGTAGAGCGTGGCGGAGACGCCGCCCCAGAAGCTGGGCAGCGTGCGGTCGTACTCCGCGCGAAGTACGGGGTGGCCAACGACATTGCGGGCTTCCACAACAACGTTGTCGTGCGCATCGGCGCGCTGCTGGTCTACCTGTTTCACGCGCTTGTACTCTCTCTGCCAGCGACGGTAGCTGGCGAGAATCTCCTCCTGCGTCGCGCTGCGGGGGACGCCGAGGATATCGTAGTACGTGCCGGGTGTGTTGCGGTGCGGGTAACGGCAGCGCGCAGGGAGACGTATGCGGAAGGGTTCCGCGATGTCGTCACGTCTCATGCCTTTTTGTGGCGACGCGTCCTTGGAGGACTGTGCGCTGCGTGGGATGAAGCTGTCAGTGCTGGACGCAAGGCTCGACAGGGAGATATCACACGCATTGCTGCCGCTCAGGTCGTGCAGACGGGTGGACCGCTTGCCGCTTCGGCGGTGGCCGGCGGTCTTCGTCTTCTCGCCACACGTGGCGGCACGCGTGGCACTCATGTTGTGCCCCTTATGAAAAACAGCATGGTCGGCATTGTTGTTGCGGTGTGGCGCCATGAAGTGGCGCGGAATGCTCTCCACTGGCACTGTCTCGAGCAGTTTGTTCTGTGTGTTGCTGTTCAACTCGGAGAAGTGGTGGGCGTGCTCGCAGCGGTTGCTGTATGGGCACTGCGCAGCCTCGTAGAACGCCACACAAACACGCGACTTGCCGCCGCTCTCCACGTCAGACGGGGTGGGAGCTGCAACAGCGCACGTTGCCGCTGCTGCATCGACTCGGCGGGTGGCGCCGTCGTACGGCACAAACTCCGTCGTGCTCACCGAAAACGGCATTGTGCGACTCCTTTCCGCTCACTTCGACGCTGTTGTATAATGCGCAGATGCACCACTAGTTCTCGCAATAACGAAGGAAAAAAAAAATACAAAGGAAAGAAAGAAGCAAGCAACGCTATGCTATGCAAAAAAACGAAAAAAGAAATCAGAAAGAAACACGGGAGCCCACGAGCCGTTTGTCCTCTTTGCCGAATGTTGACTTGCCAGCAGCAGAGTGCAAAAGAAAAAAAAACCACCACAAACGCCCGCAACGATACATCGTTGAATGCTACCGCCATTCCAGCATCGCCGCACAACGGTACAGCCTCTCCGCCACCCTGCCACGTGCCGTGTGTTGTACACAGTCAATCCCTTTCTATTACCGACAAGGGCGGTGCTGGTTGAGGCAAGGACGATACTGTAGCGCTCTCAAATCACCTGTACGCAAAGATCATACCACACTGTGTGCTCACGTTACGCTCTCTCACAGACTACATACACACACACACTCTCTCTCTCACTCCTTGATTCACTATCTACGCGCAACTTTCCCAGTCCACCCAATCCTACACTACCGACCCAGCCAGCCCCTTAATGGTTGATACGCCTCCCTATTCATCTCCCTCCCGCAGCAGTCAAAGAGGGCGGCCCACTCTCTAAAGCGCGCAACAGGCCCACAGAGGAGACCACACCAATACAATCTGCAGCTAAAAAAAGAATACGTACAAGTGTGAAACGCAGTTTTTGTGTCTCTCACTTCTTTGGATCCTGTTTTTGCGGGTTGTTCTGTACCGACGACTTGAGTTCGGCGATGAGGTCCTCCGATGTTTTGCCACTGTAGCGGGCGCCAGGCTGCATACGTTGGAGGTCTTTGTCCACGGCGAAGCGTTTGTTGAGGAACTTCTTAAGCATGTCACCACGCGCCTTCTCCAAGTCGTCGCGAATGCGGTCCTTGCGCTCCTTGTAGGCGGCGGTCTCACGCGCCATGCGCTCTGTATCCATGCGCTTCAACTCTGCCATCTCCTCCTGCGTGAGCGCTTTCTTGCGCTTGTCGAAGTCTTCCCGCACGACCTGCTCCCAGGGGCTGTTGTAGCCGAGCCCCTCCCTACCGATATTCTGGTCCTCGCGCGCGACCTTCTTCACCTGCTCCGGGTCCAGCTCCCAGAAGCGCCACTCATTCCACTTTTGTGCAGTCTCTAGCTCCCGCCACGTCACCTGCAGGATATACTCCACCGGCCACCCCCAGAAATACCGCTTCTCAAGTGTGCACCAGTCGTCTTGGCACTCCTTGATGCCGTGATTGATGCGCTTCACCAGCGTCATGGCAATGTTGTAGTACGTCGTCTCTGGTGGGATGTCAGAGGTGGTCAAGAACGCCTGCAACTCCGCCGCCGCGGCGAGGAGTTTCGGTTTCCACAGCGGCTCCACTGCAACGCCTGCCAGGCCCGTCGTCGACTTCACCGGAAAGGCGCGTGGTATATACTCGTCGCTAATGGTGAGCAGCGCGACCGTGCGGCGCAGCGCAGTCCGCAGGGGATGTGAACAGCGCATACGCCCCCCACACTTCTACTTTTGTTTTCCTTGAAGCTCTTCCCCGGCGTTCCACAGTAGATAGATGACGCTCGGCCCAAGTTCAAGTACCCTACAGCGCAAAGAAAGGCGAAGCACCGGCGCGACTCTTGTTTCTTCTTCTCGTTCCTTATTTTCCTACCGGAAACTTTAAAAATGGCGCCCTACAGGTGAGCACGAAGAGCGAAAAGGGAGGAGCAGCCACAGGAACAGTACACGCAGCAGTGCAAAGCGGGCGACGGCAACTCAGCGCCGGCGGAAGTCGCCAGCTGAAGAGGGGAGAGAGGAGCAGAAGCGGAAGCAAGACAAGTCTGAACAGTCACAAGGGGCCCCCGCTCGCCCCCAGAGCAGTCCACCTCACGGAGGAAAGAGAGGGCAAGAGGGGAGGGGGGAAGAGAGACACCACTCTCCTCGTCTTCCAAAGAAAAGAAAATCTGTCAGTAGACAAACAGCATACGCAACGCAATCACAACACAGCCAAACGCCACCCATACTGACAGGCGATCTCCGACCACACTGCACTTGTAGAGGAACTTGCGGTGCAACTCTTTATGGTCGCGGTGAAAAATTGTGGGGCGATACTGCCGCAAGTACGTCGCGGTGCATACGACAAGCAGAAGCACATAGGCGACAGTCTCGAAGTCGAAGAAGGCGCTCATTGCACCCCGTCTATTGTGTTTTCTTTGCTTTCTAAACCTACAAGAGGCCTTTTGCAGCGACTGTGGAGTGGGACGGGAAGAGAGAGAAGTGNGGAGTTCCAAACAATTGGCTATGCCACGCGGCGTGAATTGGCGGGCAAAAACAACAACAACGCAAGAGTGAAACAAGAAAGTCAAGTGAATAAAAACGCTTCAAAGTAATGATTTAAAAAAAATGAGGTATATGTAAATTTGAAATGTGCCGCTGGCCCCTTCCCCCTCCTCTTTGCCCTGTTTTGGTGTATCGACGATTAAAGCACCGCAGCGACCACGCCGCGCGGACACCGACACACACGGAGACCACCTTGTCTTCCACTGTAGCGCCCAACAAGACAAGACCTCCAAAAACGCGTCAACGCCTTATAAACTCGGAAAGAGCGTGGAGTGCAAGCAAAAACTTTTTTAAAACGTAAACAAACAAGCAAACAAACAAAAAACGATTTGCATAGTAATACGACTAAAGAGCTCATTCAGACACATCACTGGAGGGCTCTGCCTTTGCGCGGGACCTCACGCCGGCACGTTGGACAGCAGTTGTTACGTGCAAGCCACCGAATAATACACTTATGGTGGAACGTGTGCCCGCAGTCGATCGGGAGAACCATAGCCCCCTGCGTCATCTTCTCGAGACAGATAGTGCACGCTTCCTGCTCCTCGCTGGACCGTGTCGTGCTGCTCATTTTATCCGCTGACCGTTTCATACTTGAGTACGGCACGGCCTTCATCCCACGGAGCTGATGTTGTGGGAGGCCAGTGGGCACCTTTGCGTTGTCTAGCTCCAGCAGGTTCTCGTACGAGAAGTCGTTGAGCTCCCATCCAGTATTGCCGCCAATTTGTGCACGTGGGGCCTCGCCAGCGCCCAGTTGCGCGAGTTGTGGTACACGCGAGAAACCTGTAATAATGTCATAGTCGGATCCGCTGCTGCCGATGTGGCGCGGCCGTTGACGGGCCCGAAGGAGACCTCTCTGCACAGTGGTTGTAACCTGCGGAGGGGACGACGAGGAGCCACGCACCGACACAACAACACGGGTATAATTCATAGGCTCTTCTTCAGCATCATTGCCACTCATCTCCACCGTCCCAGGGGTGGGCATCATAGACTGCTGCATTGAAAGGGCCATGGCGGTCTCCGCCGCCATCTGGGCTACCTGCATATTCGCTGACACGAACTCATCGAATGCCAGCACCGCCTCAACGTGGTGACGGCCCAACATTGTATTCGCCAATTGAGTAACGGCAGCAATACTTTCATCAACACTTGAGGCCTGCTGTTGCTGCTGTTGGGGACGTCGCTGCTGTACCTGTTGCACAGCGCGTTCTCTCCGCAATCGTTGTGAAGACAAAGGCTCGGAGAGCTGGCGTCTTTGAGGGAACGTCTGACTCAGTGGCTCATGATCCCATTCGTGTTGAATCTGCCGTTGGCTCAATTCCCCAAAAGTACGACGACCACCTCGGGTCTGCACGTCTGACGTTCCCATCACACGCATCATCATTTCCCTTCTGCGTCTAACCGATGGAGGAAGAGGGAAGCTCGCCTCTGGGATAGGCCAACGCATAAACATGGAACGTTCCGCTGGTCTTGCCTGAGATGCGCGTTGTAGTTCCTGCTGGGAAACGATATGTGGAGGAAGAGCGTTGGCCCAGTCAATGCCATCATTGAGATTGCCGAAGTCGATGCGCCGCGTGGTCATTACTTTTTTTCGTCACTTTTTATGTACTTATTGTCCACTTCCTTCGAAGAAGCGAAAGAGAAAACGCGGTTCAAAAAGGAAAATAAAAAAATGGACAATACACACCAGATGGAACCTACACGGGCCCTCCTTCAGAGCGAGTAACGCAAGCCATTTCGTTGTCGTCGTGTACACCACGAGGGGGGAGGGGAGAACTACGGGGAAAAAAAAACAGTGAGAGGATCAACAAGATATTTCCCCATACTCATTGATCAGTGTGATGCTGCTCTTGCTGAGGGTGCAACAACGCGGAATTGCCTGAAAACGCGTGTACAGAATAGCCTGCTGAGTCCCCCGTGGCCTCAGTGACTGGCGGAGTAGGAAGTGGAGGTGGCAAGTCAGAGGCGGCGGACAAATCGAGCGGCTGCACAGATCGACGGTCCCTGGAAGAGTATGGATCACTGTAACCTCTTTGCCCAGGCAACAGAGTACCGCTATCATCACCCTCTCCCTCTTGGCGATCGTCCAGCCGCTGCTGTAACTCCATTACTTCGGAACGGTACTGTTCTGCTGTGGCCTGTGCCGTCTGCAGACGCCGCTGAAGTCTAGCCTGCTGCTCGCACATGGCGCTACCGCCTGCTGCAGAGCCCATCAGGCGCCTCGTCAGCTTTTCCGTGTGCTCGCGGAGCTGCCGCTCACTTGCGCGAAGCTCTCGCAGCTCCCGTAGGAGATCCATGTGCTTTGACATGCTCACACTTTTGGATTTGAGCACACCATTCTCGTGTTGTAGTCGATCCACCACAAGTTTCAAGTTCTCCACAACAGATTCCAATGCCTCCACGCGACCCCGTTGCTTAAAAGTTCCTGTGCGGTTCGTGTTTGTAGAGTCCACCTGAAGTATATCCTGGATGTGCCGCTCCAAGCGTCCAACCTTCAGTTGAAGAGTCTCCTGTTCAAAGCGCAGGTCAAGAATGGTGCTGTTCTTCTCAAGCAGCTCCCGTTCCAAAGCTGACTGGTCAATTATTTTCTCCGTCCTGAGCGGAACTGAGCTCGGCATGACTGCAGTAGCTGCTTGATAGCGGCTTAACTCTGCAGTCAGGCGTTTATTATCGCCAGTCAGATCATCTATGCGTCGCTGGAGATTGCGCAGCTGTGCCTCCTTAGTAACACTCACCTCCCGCTTCAGTTCATCAATTGTATTCTCCAGGCGAAGAACCGTTCGTTTATGGTGACGTATATCAAGGGGGGAGGCAACATGAATTGGTTCCACTGACTCTTTCTGCCGGCAGCGCAGATCCGCAAGTTCCGTTTTGTATCGTTCTGCCTCTCCAGCCACATCGTCAAACGCCGCCACACGTTTCTTCAGCCTTTCCACCTGTCGTTTCAGTTGCTCATTTTCCTCCCTTAGTCGCTGCAGGTGGTTATGCAACTTTGAACCTACTGCTCCTTGCGGTACAGTAAGCCTAACAGCATTGGCGTCAACACTTGTGGCTGGCGGTTTCTCTGTTTCGGCAACTACCTGCCGAGATTCCTCAGGGCGCTGCTGCCGATCTGCATACTCTCGGGTAATGGCGAGTTCCTTTGCTTCAAGCTCACGCTGGGCATTCTGCATCTGTACCCGAAGAGAGCGACTGGTCTCACGCTCCCCACGTAGATGATCGCGGGCCTCCTGCAGATCGCTCTCCAGGCGATGGGTGAGGGCGCGCAGCGAAGAAATTTCGTGCAGGTTGTCGCGTTGTGCCTTTTCCACTTCACGTCTAAGCAATGCTGCTATCTGCGGCTGGGCAAGGGCATTAGCGTCGACATCAGTTAGTAGGGCGCGCATAGGTGACTGCACCACGGCAGAGCGAGGACGTTGCTTCTCATGCTGCTGGTGTTGCTGTTGTTGTTGTTGCTTTGGCTGCTGCTCTTTTGGGAGACCACCGGTAGTGGCAATCGCCGGCTCTGCTGCCTCTGCAGGCACTTTCAGATCATTGGAGCTTTTTGTTTCCTCCTGGGAAGTTGACTGCAGCACCTGTGTCCCTTTCTCTCGGCCACCCCTCGTGACACCCCGGTTAGACGGCGACCCACACGAAGCCAACTCACGTTTGAGTCGCAGTATCTCCTGCTCCCTTTCTTGCAGTTGTCGATGCAGTTCGTAGGCCATCCGCTGTGCCTCCTCGTGCTTCTTGAGTGCCTCCTCCTCGCGGCGCACCTTCTCTTCGAGCTCACACTGAATCGACCGCAGCCGCTCAGTGACAGCCTTCAGTTGCTCCGTCGACTCCAGTTGAATGGACCCCATGCGCTGCGCCAATGCTAGCTCATGCTGGTGTTTACGCGAGGCGTCTCCACGCTGTTGGGCCTCCTCGACTAGCCGCTGCTTGAGCATGTTCGTAGCCATGATCAGCTTTTCATTCTGCTCTTCCACAAGACGAATATCGGCGTTAAGACTGTCATTCATCGCGACGAGCCGCCGCGCTCGCTCCACGTCGGCCTGTTGCGCCACAACCTCCTCGCGCAGCGCGTCGAGATGCGCGCGCCATTGGGTAGTGTCGGCCTGCAGTCGACGCGTATTCTGCCGCTCTTCCTCCAGCTGCACCCGCGCCTCCGAGAGTTGACTCTCTACAAATGTCAGCTGCGCCCGCAGTTCCTGCTCCACCACTGACCCCAGTGTCGTCGTTGTTGTCCCCGCAACGGCTGCGCTCTTCAGCACGCCACCTTGCTCTACAACAACGTGGCGAAGCTCATTCAACTGTTTCTCAAGAACCTCTCTTTCACTTATGCCACGCTGCAGCTCACGAGTTAAACTGAACTCCCGCTGCCGCAGGCTCTCTATGATTGCATTTTGGTCATTGACAACACCAACGACAGAAGCCTCCACCGCCGGCATTCCCTGCTGCGTTTGGTGGCCACCTTGGTGAGAGATCAGAAACTGCGGCTGCGCCTTGGCGACCTGCTCATTGAGTTGCCCCTCCAGCATTATATTCGTCGCACGCGCATCCTTCAGCTCAGACTTGAGACGCAACGTCTCCCTCGTGAGCAGCGCAAGTTGCTCCGCCACCCCGTCGGGCGGCACCACACCCGCACCTTGGGCCGTGTTGGTGAATGTGTAGTTCTCCGCCACACCGCTGATCGCCTCGCGGAAACGTTCCACCATAGCGTTGTTCTCCTTGAAAAGGTGATCATGCAGCCGTTCCATCCGCGCAGCCTCCTCCAGCTGATACTCAAGGTATTTTCTCCGTTCCGCCTGAAGCTGTTCCTGTAGTTGTTTAATGCGCCCCTCCTTGTTGTGCAGCATTTCCCGGAGACATTGACTGTTGTGCTCCGCCGCACGGTGTGCAACTTCTGCCTGTGCCTCATGCGACCGTATCACCCGACGCTCGCGCTCCTCTGCCTTTTGCCGCTCTTCCTCCAGCTGCCGCTGAACGTACTGTAAACGCTCCTGTAGGCGATTCACCTCTTCCTTCAAAGTGTCTGTAACGGCTTGGGCCTTTCGGCATTCCGTTGCTTCGTCACCAAGCCGCTTCTTGAGCGAGGCACACTCCCTTGTCAATTCCGCCTGCTTATCCAGTGCTTGCTTGTACTCGCGAATGGCGGTGTCGGTGCCTGCATCATCCATGTATTGTGGACCAACCCCGCTTGGTTGAATGACAACTGCTGGGGACTCCGCCTTCGCAAAGACCGTTTCTTGCAGCTGAAGAAGTTTCTGCACGACGTCTTCGTCCAGAGAGGCAACGCCTGAAGCTCGTAACTCCAGACGTGTCACTTCCTCTGTCAGTTGCTGTGAGTACACCTCAGCCCTCTTTAGTTTCTGCTGGATGTAGCATTGGTCCTCTCGTAACTCGGCAAGCTGCGCGTCCTTCTCACGCACAGCAGAAAGGGAAGCGAGCAGCTTAGAGTGAAGTGCATCCGCATGCTCATCTTCATCCTTCGTTTTGGCCAGATCCAGTTGCTGTTGCAGAAGGCTCACCATTCCGTTGCTTTTGGCGAGTTGGGCTGCCAACTCATTTTGACGGACCTGGCCACGCTCAAGATCCGCGGTGACATCGAGAAGACGCAAGTGCATTATCTCTGCACGGTGCGGGGACAAGAAGCCTTTGAGGTCGCGTTGCACAGAGCGAACGTAGTCCAGCACAGAAACCATTTGTGCAACGTACTTCCGGTAGAGGCGGAAGGCACTTAGCTTGTACGTCGTCGCCTCGTTTGCGGTCACACGCAGATTTGCCTCCGTGGCGCATAGCTGCATTCGAGCCCGTTTGGCCCTAAGAAGCGCCAACTCGCTCTGGCGGCGCAGTGCTGCATGCTGACGAATGGCGGCGGAAACAAAATCACTCACCGTTCGAGAGTCTCCCGCATCACGCACCAGAGAGAGCTCCTGCTTCGTTGCCTCCAACTGGATACTGAGGCGCTTGCAGTCGCCCTGCAAATCCATAGAATGGTGCAGGAGACCAAGGTTGATAGACTTGAGGCGGGCAACATCGCGCTCGAGCTGCTGAACTCTGTCACCCGCATCATTTGCCTCGGCTGGCAAAGACTGTAATTGTTGTTGTTGTTGTTCTTCTTCTTCGTTTAGTTTTTGTTCGTGTTCCTGTTCTTGTTCTTGCTTCTGGAGCGGTGCTGTCATCGCCACTCTGGTTGTCGTTGTAAGCCCCGCCTTGCCCCCAAAACCGTTGTGCAAGTGCTCTTGCAGAAGTGCCAATTCTCCTCGAGTATCCTCAAGTTCGGCTTCAAGCGTAGAGACTTCCCGTTCCTTGTCCTCGTAGCGCTTCATATAAAGGCTGCACTTCTGCCGCCAGGTTGTGGCTTCTGTCTCAAATTTTGCAGCCTGCGAAGGATCGCCAATGTGAACCCCTGATGATGCATCTTGTAGCTTTCGTGAGCGGTCCAACTCGATGCGCAGCTCACCCAATTCAATCTCCATCTCAGACATCTGCTTCTGTCGAATCTTCAGATCTTTTCGTAGGGAACTTAGCTCCTCCACCTGTTCCATGTAATGGTAGGTCTGCCTAAGCTGAAGAAGGTATGTGCTGTCCTCCTTGAAGAGCTTGCCACGCAGCGCACTATCAAGTCGCTGCTGCATTTCCTCGAGAATGCCACTCTCTACACATGTACCTTTAGAAGACCGCTGAAGAACAAATCCGGTCGACGTGTTCTCTAGTGCGCCTTTGAGGGAAGTAAAGGTGGTGTTCACATATTCCCGCATGGCCTGCTCCGACCGCGACGCCTCTTCTTGTGTCTCCATCACGCAACGCAAACGCTGTAAAAGTTTGCCTTCACGCTGCCTAAGCACGACAATCTTTTGAAGGAGCTCTCGCGTGTTGCCGGAATCTATGCGGCGCATTGCATCCTGCAGGTCCTCCAGTATCTTCTGCTGCTCCACTAGCTTCCCGTTGAGCTCCTCGTTGATTTGCTGAGTGGCCAAGACCTGGTTACGCAAATCTTCCTGCAGCGCAGATGTCTCCTGTAAACGCCGTGTGGCCTTTGCCTCTGCCTCACGGTGTTGCGCCGCTTCTTCCCTCACGCTCTCGACGGCGTTCTTTAAAGAGGCGATGAGTTCATCCTTGATACGCAGCTGCTCCTCAAAAGTACGTGAAATGGAGAGGAGCGGACCTGACCGCATAGCATCCGTGTTTTCACACCGCAACGCCTGCGATAACGTCTGAGATGGGGCGTCACTTACCGTGGCAGAGAACAGTCCCTCCACAGCTTCTTGTCCACGCTGCTCTTCAGTCGGAGGAGGGGGCATTGAGACACCGAGTGCGTCAAAAACGGCGGTGCGGTACTTATCACGCTCGTCCATCAGCACATCCCGCTCCGCTGTTACAGCAGCCAGTTGCTCCCGCAGCACTACCTGTGATGTTGCGTTATCTTTGATGGTAAGTTCCGACTGCTCCAGTAGCTGAAGTGCACTTCTCAGCTGCTCCCGCAGACGCACTGCGTCACTCGGCGCCTCGTGTCCGGTTTCCATATTTGGCTGCACAGTAATAAGGTCAACGCGATCCCGCAGAATCTGCAGCGCTGAAGTCGCATCTGGGGCAGAACTAAAGTCTGTCTTTCCGAGCGCCTCTCGCAGGGCCTCTTCAATCCTCTGCCTGACAAAGTCATTAAAGTGTTCCATCTCCTTCCGGCGGAGCTGCAGCTCTTGGAAGTATTTTTCCCTGTAATTTCCCTCGTCCTCCTCAACGATGTGTCTCCCAGACTTCATCTGATCCACTACGTGGTCAAGCTGCTTTAGTTGTTCGGGTGAAAGGCCCAACTCGAGCCGAAGCTTCGTGTCAAGCAGTGGCTGCAGGCGGACCTTGTCCATCCAATGACGCCGCTCCTTTTCAAGCCACTCAACCTCATCCTTTAGCGTGGCGACCTCCTCCCGCAGCATTCCTACCTCGCTGAATAATGATGAGTTCTTGGGACGCAGACGATCAATTTCCTCTTGTGTGACGCCAATACGTACGCACAACTCCTGTAGTGCGGTAGAAAAGGTTAAGGAGTCCTCCATCGCGTTTAGCCTTTCTCGCAGCTGCGCGTTTTCTTCCTGAAGAAGCTCCATCGATCGGTTGGATTCAACGAGTTCGTTTCGGAGACGGCGAATACCCTCATCACCGCGCTCGTATTCCTTGAGGAGGCGTTGGATCTTGTTGTTCTCCGCATCCCGTGCCTCTGCGCGAACTTCCATCTGTTGCAATTCTGTTGACAGACGATCGTTCTCTTGCTGAAGGCGTTGTCGTTCCACTACGAGCCTCTCCATGGTACGGCTATCACATCCCATCTTGGACCGAGGGGAGGAATTAGCCGGAAAAGATAAAAAGCTCCCGCTAGCCGATAAAACGGTACGCACAGCGGCGTCACTATCCTCAGTTATTTCATCCTGGTAAATCTTAGAAGATGTAGCATGACGCTCCAACTTCCGACGCAGCGCATTGTTCTCCTCTTCGGCTTCTTTTAGCATCTGCTGTAGACTATAGACGGATTCTTCAACATGGCGATCTGCCTCACGCTGAACACGCTGCAGCTCCTCCGTTAAAGTTTGGCATCGCTGCTTCTCCTCATCGACGATGTCACGATGCAGCTGCTGAAGCTCCGTCATGTCCCGCAGCGCTTCTGACTCCCGTCGCTCACAAAGTTCCTCTGCGCGGTCACGTGACTGAATAAGGTCATAGTTATCTTTTTGCAGAGTCCGCACCTTCTGCCGCAGACGGTGCAGTTCACTTTCTTCATCATGCCGCTTCGACTTCTCTGAACGCTGGTATTCTCGCAGCATCTCCTCCGTCTTTTCAGACTTTTCTACGAGTCGCTTGTATTTTGCAACAAGGTGCTTGTACTCGAGACGAAACTTTTCATCCTCTCTCTCAGCTTGTGTCTTAACAGCATTACGTTGTTGGAGAGCCTGCTGCAGCTCCTTGTTTTCTCGCCGCAGGCGGTCCACATCTCGCGTTGACTTTTCCAATTCCTCCTTCAAACGTCTCGCATCACGTGCCCCTCGCATCGCAGATTTATGGTGATGCGGGGAAACCACACCTTCGGTTTCACTTTGGCCCCCCTCCTTCTGCTCCAACATTGCACGGAGCTGATTACTTTCGCTCTGCAGAAGGTCTGCACGAGCCCGAAACGTCTCCTCCGCCTCACGCGCTGAGGCGACAGAACGCTCCAACTCTACCCTCTCTTCATTAAGACGATCTAAGTCCCGTGAACATGTTGTGGCAATTACGCGCATCAGACGCAAGACAGCCGTTGTATACTGAGGTTGAATAAAATGCTCATCATCAGGACTCCATAAAAAATTGGACGCCTTCTGCACCCATTCACGAACTCCTGAGGTAAGCTTACCATGTTCCCAATCATCAAAAGGAAGCGAAGTAAGAGCCTCCCATTCAAAGGTAGCGCCACTGCTTTGGGCATCCAAGACCAAGGGCGGCGGCAAAGGGTCCATCAAGGCGTTGCCAATCTATGAGCCAGGAGCACCACAGTAAAAGCAGATGAAATTTTGAAGTGCCTCACCACTGGACCAATACCTAAAAAAAGGCGCCAAAGGTACGGCCACTTTTCGTCTACTACGACAGCAATAAGATGTGTACTGCCCTTTGGTAAAAACACGTCAATGTAAAACATTGCAATTTGAATGAACGCAAAAAAAAAATGTGAAGAAACAAATGTATCCTCAAAAGACGAAACAACAAATACAAAAGCAGGAAAAAAAACGAAACACAGAAGAATAAGATCAGCGAAGACATTTCTCTCTCTTGTTTTTTTTTCTCCAAGAGAAAAAATAGAGAAACCAACCAGTCTTCTGAACGGCATTGATGACCCACACTGGCGACAACCACGATACCCGTTTTTGCAGCAACCGTCGGATAAAGAATGATGCCGTCAACCCACGACAAGAGCGATATTAAGGTGCTCGTTATTTCCCATTCTCATACAAGGGAAGTGCATTTCCAACCACCTCTTCAAAATGCCTTCAACACGGCTAATACCAGGCCATGCACATTTTCACCGCCTGTCCGAGCAGCTGAGCACATCAAACGCTCGCCAGCAACATAATACTGATTTCGCTACTTTTCAAATGCATTCCTGAATAAGTCAGTTCCCTTTCATTTGGAATCTGTTCTACGAGCAAGCAAAGCAAAACAAAAAAGAAAAAAAAAGAGCAAAGCAGACAGCAAAAGAGTTGAACTTGAGGAATAATAAAAGAAACAATCAAAAGAAAGAACTGAAGCTCTGCAATGCACCACCCTCTCCTATAAACGACAATTTTTGAGTACTCTGAACCAAATAAGAGGAAAAACGCTACAACTCCTGCAGAAGTCAATCAGCGTGATGTTTGTATTGGTAGGAACAGTTGAAGCTGTGCAATATAAGTTCTGTTCACAGTCCACCTTCCGAAAAGCCCATTTTCCAACGAGCAAGTTTCAAGCGTCAGAAGAGCTCATTGAAATCCACATTTGACTAAGGAAGCAAATCACACATAGCCGGCAACATATCCGCGCAAGTGTACGACGAAACACAATCCGAGCTCGTGGTCTTCCAGCCTTGTACGGCATGAAAAATGGTTGCGTACCGTTCCTCTTTGTCCCCTTTTACTTCAAGAACGCGATTGTCCCCACCATCTTCTTCAATCAACTACACGAATCGGTATCGAGACCGTACAACTTCAACACAAAGATAACCAAAAACATCAGTCTCGTCTCTTTCGCCTTTTCTCTTTGATTCGTGAAAACAAAACAACAGCGAGGGAAAGCAGAGATATAGTTTTCTTTATGCTGAAGAAGATGAAGTCTACAACGCTTTAGCTCTTTCTCTTCTTTTTTTTCTTTTTTTTTTTTCGTCTCCTTTCTTTTCTTTAACCCTGAACAATCTTCTTCTTCGCACAGAAGCACTGGACGAAGAGAGTCAACGCAAACAGTCATCTAGAATACTACTCATGCTATCAATAAAAGAATTGGTGCAGGTAGAGGGGGAAAACACGACAGTTATCTTCCAGTTGATATCGTACTTTTTTTTGTTCTCATTTCTCACGCTGCATTAGCGTGCGCCAGCTGCGTTGCTTCCGGCAACTGAAGTGTTATTCTGAACGCTAGACTGTGCCGCCTGACTATTGAGGGGTGCCAAATCACGGTTGACACGTACATGCTCTCCTGGCTTCCACACACCCACGTCCAGCCTGTAAGCATTGATAAAGTCCCCAAGATCCGTTTGAATTGGGCCATGTTTAAGCATCGGACATGTAGTCACAAATTGAGGAACAGTCATTGAACTATCGCACAAGCTCCGAATAAGATCGATGAGGGCAGGAATAGTATTATCGGCACTTTCTCCACCCTCATAATCTTCTACAAGGATACTGTTCTGTTGATATCCCCGAATGCAGTCAGGGGTGTTCTCAATTATAAGCACCCGATCAAGAGGCCTTCCAAGAGCGGCTAGATCTTTTTGATATCCTGAGTATCCTGTAAACCACTTACTGTGACGGTATATACAATGGCTGACCACTCTTTCCTTGTCAATGTTCCGTATAATTGCTTGAGCATATGCTCGAAGACCGGCTGTCCACACCACAACCTCAACACATTTTTCTTTACAGAGTTTGAAGAACTCATCAAGCCCAGGACGTGCGTAAAGAGGACCTTCACGTGCATACACCAAGGTTTCGTCAAGGTCAAGAGCTAGAGTCAGTTTGCCTTTAAACCTATGCTCCTGCTCGGGTAAAACCCACTTACTGCTAAGTTCTTGATTCATTGAAGGAGCACGTTGGCGAGGTCGCCGTGAGACCGAATACTGATACTCCTGCTTAAAGGAGGCCCCACGTATCCGCTGACGAGGCGCCGACGCCATTTTTTTTTTTTTGTTTGCCAAAATCACGAAGAAAACAAGTGCGACAAAGTCCACTCGGCGATCGTTTGAAACAGAGACAGCTCGCACAACACTGATATCAAAGAGTACTTAAAGAGGCTAAAAAGAGGGAGGAGAAGAAGCAATGAAACAACTTCACCAATGCGTGAGAAAGAGAGATTTAATATAGTTACAGAAAGCTTTGACCCAACAAACTGACAGCTACGAAAACAATACAAACGAAGATCGTTATCACAACAACACGGAGTGATTCAACCAAAAAACAACTAGGTCTCAAAAATAAGACAACAAAATAGAACTAATACTTGTTTGATTTAAAAAACGATCATTGATTACAATTCCACCTTTTTTTTTGTTCTAACAAGAGACTATAGTAAGATTTCACCCAATAACTACATGCGTGCATGTTATACATAACAGTAAGGGCGGGCAAACACAACGGAGAAACCAGAAAAATATTATTCCTTTTTTTTTAATTAATAATTTTTTTTTTATCACGAACGACCAAAAAATAACTCTTTGCGAATGGGGCATTTTTTCTTTAATTTGCAGCTATCAGTCGCATAAGAGTTATATAGCTTCATTCAAAGCCCCAGATTGTTGAAAAGAAACCAAAATGCACTCCAATAACAAAAAAAAAAACATTTACCCGTCCCTTCAAAGAAACACCTGTGCACTTATAAGAAGGGCGCCCATCACACGACACACCGCGCCGCACGCAAACAATACAACCCACACGGCTTCGCGTAAGTAGAAAAGGATCCTGCGGAGTCCCCCCCCCCGGA